TCTGAACACAGAGCAGTCAATAAGCCAGGGGAGAGACAGTAAGGAGGACCAGCAGTAGGGTAATGGCAATGAGCAACACGGGTAGAGGCTGGAGTCCCTACTCAGACAGAAATCCTTCCAAACACCCAAATCAGAGCCCCTTTCATCTACCACTGTTTGTCAAATGGGTCCTGCTGGCATTTAAGGTAGGAAGGTGCTTTCTATGTACTCCAGCATTCTTGGAGGTTTCGTATCCCCAGACTTTGGGAACAAAGTACCAGGCGTCTGACAAGCCAAATCTCCCTGCTCCTTTGGTTCCAGAACAACCCCCTCCTCCTGCAGGCTGCGCGGTCTCTGGGCTGCTCTGCCTGTCTGATCACAACAGACCACTCCTCAAGGCCTTTTCTTTGCTGTTGTTGTTCTCAACCAGCTAAATCCTAGCTTCTCCTTTTCGACTCTCCTGACCATCTCTACCCGAAAGGTCCTTTCCATTTGCCCGGAAATTACCCCCCCCCTCCCCAACTCACGAGGCAGAAGCCTTTTCTGATTCCTGCTAGCTCCCAGGTCAAAGACTCACTGACGCACTCTTCTGTCTCCTCCTCTTTGCTAAGGTAACACTGGCCTTTTCCAGTTCTTTCAAAGAACCAGGTGTGGATCCTGAAAACCTTCCCTTCTTCTCTTCCCGTCATCTCACTGACCCATAATGACGCTGAGATCTTGGCTGGGATGCTTAGTTTCTATAGGCTCTGTGGGACTGTGTGTTTCTTTATTTTTCTTTCTTCATTACCAGATGAGAAGTTAGCTGTTTATTTCCTTGCTGTACCCTTTACTACACTGTAAATACACAGAAGGCAGAAAATATCTATTTTTCATTCTCTAAAACACTGTCTAGCATCCAACACTCACTAAACAGTGGTCATACGTGCTTTAGTTCTTTCCTTGTAGGTGTTTTTCATCTTGCCATTATACTATGGTATAAATCTTGGGAGTTCCAACAAGTTTAGTAACTTTTACTTGTGATTTGAAATAAAAAATTTCAATGTCTTATGAGGTATACACTTCTTATACTTTAAGAGAAACTAAACTGAGAAAAGAGTATTTCATCATGCCCAGATGAGATGTTCAAAAGTGCTATCAAAGCTGCTGAAATTTGTGGTGCATCGAAAGAAAAAAGATGAAAAAACAAACAAATAGACCTAATGCTCATTTATGATTTCAATTAAGGTTTCTAATTTTTATTACAATTGGGCAATTTTCAAAAACACTATTTCCTATTCAATGTGTTATTCGCATTGTGTACGCTTTCTTCACAAATAAGGTTTTCTGCAAAGTTTAGGCCACTCCATTCTCCCTCTTACACCAGTCTGTTAATTTGGTGAGCTCGGAAGTTGCTATTTTGCTTTAAATCCATAATCAAACAAAACTTCAGAATTGCCATTTTTCCATTACCTACTTTTTAAAAAAAATCTTTTAAAAATGTATTTAGTAAAGGGTCTACAGGGTCTCACTACACAGATCTGACTTATAGTGATCCTCCTGTTTTCAGCCTCCCAAAAGCTGGGATTACAGGCTTGTGTCACCATGCCCTGTCACAATCACGATCTCAGCGCGCCCAGGGGGCGGGCCTGGGACGGCAGGCCAGGGATGGAACCCAGCCCCTGCGTCTGTCTACCTCAACAGGCGCTTTAATCCGCTGAGCTATCTGGCTGGTCTTTCTACTACTTTTGGAACAGAAGCAAACACAAAGCTTCTAAAATTCCTGTGTAACTGAATATTTTTAGTGGATTTAATATTTACCATGCAGTTTATAATTGTTCTTAAATCTATGTAGCCCATTTGCATAACAGAACATAAGCATAATTCTGGTTCTTATAAGTGAGAGAGTGGAATTGCTTGCTGTGGGTCAAGCTGTGTACTCTAAATGAAAGTATGTGAAAGCCCCAAACACCAGGACCTTCCAATGTGACCTTACTTGGAAACAGTGTCTGTGTAGATTTAACTCACTTAAGCTTATGGAGGTGGGCCCGTGCTCACATGACCAGTGTGTTTATAAAAATAGGAAATTTAGACACCGACATGCACCAAGAGAAGATGACAGAAAGGGACAAAAGAGAGAGCTCTATGTGATGATGGAAGACTGGGGTGGCACATCTCTAAGATAAGAAAGCCAGCAGCTACAGACAAAGCACCAAACAGAGGGGCGAGGAGGGACACCACAGAGTTCAGAGGCAGCAGGGCTCTGGCAACACCTTCATCGTGGACGTGTAGCCTCCTCAACCTTACACACAGTAAACTTGTTTTACGTTCACCAGATTCTGCACCTTATTAAAGCAGTTTTAGCAAAGGGACACTAAATACCTTAGGCGGCCTCTGAATTAAGTTGGAGTTTGATGGTAAAGCGCAAGCTGAATTAGTCAAAGGCAAGACTGAGGCAGTCTTCAGCAAATCACTCTCCTGAATATTCTCCGGTGAAGCCTCTGAGCCCTTTCAGAATAATACTTTCAACTTCGTAAAACGCTGGAATATGAATAAGCCCAGTTATATCCAAATAGTTACAGAATTTTAAAAACTAAAAGACCTAGTAAAGGTTGGTAGTGATGTTCAGCATGAATGCTATTTTGAAATAACTGGAATATGTAAAATCAGTTGTGAATTCCATTGTGGCGAAGTCATAGATCTTGCCAACCCTATTATATCATCGTCCTTATAACGTAAACGCTAATTTCCGTTCAGAGGTTAGTGGAAATATATATGTAATTAATCCCCTGCATCTTGGGGGCATCTTCCTGAATTCCATCAGTGGATAGTTTCAGAGTCAGGAGGCCCCCAGGTAAGGAATGCTTAAAGAGGACAGATTCTGAAGTTTCACTCATGGAGGGTGTATAGCTCAGTGGCACAGTGCCTGCCTGGCAAGTGTAAGGTCCTGAGTTCAATTCCAGGTATCCTTCGCCAAAAAAAATTAGTAAAGTTTTATTCAGATAAGTTGTTTTTCCCATTTTGTGGCTGATGCTCAACTGTTACCCTCTAATGTTGTCTCCTTGTACTGCAAGGGAAAGCCAAAACCACACATTCGCAGGCCTAGTTCTCAGTGAGGTTTGGATTATGTCAACTCAGGACGGCCATCTCTTTTCTGATATACTTACTTTTTAATTTCTTGCAGATTTTTAAATATTTTCCTAGGCTTTACAGATTGAGCATTCCTAAACTAAAACACCCAAATCTGAAATGCTTTGAAATCCAAAATTTTTTGAGACCCAACCGGTATCCACAAGGGTATTTTAGGGGGAGCACTTAGGATTTTTCCATTTGAGACACCCCGCCTGTATTTGCATGATATTTGCAAGAAGGACCTGTGGCAGAAGCTGTGAGTGTCTGCTGTTTTGGCTGGCACACACACACACACGTGCTTGGTTCTCGCAGCAGTCTTACTTGGGCTCTCTGGTTGGTCTCTGGATTCCCTGGTGCCAAGGGGCAAGGTGCAGGTTTTGCCTTTGTCGTGAACTGGATCAGACATGACGCGCACCGGAAACTGGTGGCCAAGTACCATCCGGATAGCTGTAGCTCTCTAAACTGGATTCTACCCTGGGGCTTTGAAGTTGTGGGTTTAAACTGTAGTGGGTTTCTGCAACCTTTCTATACTGATGTAGTCAAATTAATGTCCTGAAGTAAATCTCATTACTTTAGCCTGTTAGAGAAATTCTGTCATTTGTAAGGGGACTTTGAGCAAATAGGCTGTGGTGTATTCTTTTTTTACAAAGGACCTGATGCTTTCTATTCTTTACCAAAACACTGTATTTCCAACTTTAAACACAGTGGGTGTTAAAAGTTAAACAAAATGCTGAAAAAATCCCCCAGAAACAAACTACTATTCTCCGACAAGCAAAACAACAACAAAACCCACACTCAAATATACTTCATATTACTAAATGTATTATAAAATACATAAAAATAGTCCAATAATTTTGCTCCTGATCAGTTGATCATTGTCACTCTTTAAAGGAGCAGTCTCTTTCTATTTTGCCTTAAAAAATAAGAAACAGAAACAAAACCCCATCTCTATGGAAATCTCATACACATCTTTTTCTCTTCTTCACCCACAACTCCAGGATGGAAATTCATCTTCTGAAAGTCAGAACCACTCATAGAGTGCTGCTTGCATTCTTAAGTTTAATAACTGCACGCGAAAACAGCATGATTTTTCTATCTCATCCATAAGTACTTGCAAAGTCTCTGTAAGGAGAGGCCACACCTATCCCACCACTGTATCTGGCTTTATCAAATTCCATATAAAAACCCCCGGCAGATACGTCCCTTAATTACGTGCAATCCCTTTAACAAACAGAAAAATAACGGCTTAAAATCCTTCTGAAAGCAGAAATCAAAATAAGAAATCAAGAAATAAGAAATCCATGTTCCGGTGTGAACATGGATTCCAGCGGTTGAAAGGCTCTTTTGGTAACCTCTCCAATCCCCACGGGATGGTGCTGATTCTACACTTACATTTCCTGTAACATTCTGAGAAAGTATCTAAACAATTAAATGATTACTTCCTTTAGTACCAGAAAACTTTCTAAAACGCGATTTCCTGACCTTGAAAGTTAAAAATGTGATTTAAAAAAAAATTTTTTTAAATAGTGACACAGCTTGATCAAACGAAAAGAGAAAGCTTTTAAATCACAGGTCCTAAAGAAACTATGTTTAGCTCTTGTTTTGCACTCTAAGAATACAGGCTCGTTCCTGGGTTCCCAAACGGGTGGCGCTGGCCGGAGAGCACGGGGACAGCGGGGACTTCTGGGAAGGTGGGAAAAAGCGCCAGGACGGCTCTGCGTGCGGACAGATTCCCAACAAAGCCCTCGGTCCTGTTAGGGGTCCCCGCCAGGAGCCCCATACCTCGGATCGCGCTTAGCAAAGGACCCAGGGCCCCGAGCGCGGCGAAAGGAAAGCCGGAACCGCGCTCCGGCCGGCGAGCGACGTCCCGCAGCCCGCCCGGTCCCGGCCTCCCGCCAGCCTTCCCGCCTTACCAGCAGCAGCAGCAGCAGC